TAGTCTGAAAGAAAAATTGTGTGTGAGCAAGTGCACACACTAATTATTTTAGGGATTTTTTTACCTCCTCAACAGTTTATACAGGTATGAACCAGTAGGTTTGGAATTATGTTTGCAGTACATCTGGAAACATGGCAAACCTGGGATTTTAAGTTGGAGTTATGCTTCTTCCTCACAGTACTGTGTGTAAACAGCATTTTGTAAACACTGCATTACCTTTAATAACTGATTACTCCAAGTCCCGATTCAAGCAACTGGTATATTCTATCTACCCTCACTTCCTATCTTTACATGCATACACACGCAGCCACGCTTCTGAGAGCTTGTCTGTTTCTAGAGACCAGTTTTCCAAATCCCAACAACTGGCCAGTCCAAGCTTATGTAAACAACTTGAGATTCGAACAAACTCAATGATAATCATTGTTGATTAAATCAAACTTATACAAAGGCAAAGTAAATTGAACCAGGTACACGAATGCAGAGATAAGACAGAAGCTGATTATCTTGCATGGCAACAAAGGAGAGCTGCTACACTGGAACAGACTAATGGCCCATCAGTTCCCAAATTGTTCCCTCTGGTTACAGCCAACACTTCAAAGAACACGGGGAGCCAACATTGCCAGAAGTCATTATTTGTCATAGTGAGAACAAGAGAAATCAATTAATAAGTTCAGTTTCTTTAGGCACATTTTAAGATGTTTATTTTAAACTCAAGAGGGTGAGAAGAAGCTCTTCCCTCGAGCACTTAATTATAAAATAATTCTTTTAAACATCTGACATCTTCACTTATTCTTTACAATCATTTCCAACACTCGGACAGAGTCCAAGAATTTCAGCAGGCCACTATGAGGACAGAATTTCAGTTTCTTTTGTCCCTCCACCTCTCTTCACAGAGCCTGAAAACTTGATTCGTTAAGGCCACAAACCATTTTACCTCTCAAAGCTGCTATCTCAAGGTGCACTACTATGATAAGTATGATAAGATGCCCTAGCTTGGAAGGTCATTGAGAACAGTGGCTCTCAGTCATTCCCTCACCTCTGAAAGCCAAGGCGGATTCTGTGGCTCTGGCAGGACATTACCATACATGCAGCCACAACACAGGGCAAGCTCTTGCTTGCAAAGCCCAAGTTTCCAAGCAACCACCAACTGTGTTTGCAGAAGTCATGCATGTAAATCTTTAGCCATGGAGCACAATTTACTTGCACTGGTAAAATTAAGTGTACATATACTACATACTCCATCTATTTGAATGAAATTTATTACAAAAATCAAACCAAGTCACGTAACTGAAATAAAAGTTTCTATCATCTCTGCTAGTATTTTTAAGCAGGTTTTTGGAGTGGTAAATTAATAGCCAATTATCCATTCCTTCTCCCCATAAAGACTATTACCCCAGCCTCCAACAATCTAATATAAATGAGGCACAGTAATTGATTTCCTATTCTGTTCATGTGAGATTTTCTGTTCTATGGTCTGATCAAATAAGAAAAACTCTTAGAAAACACTTTTCTAAATTGATTTAATCAGAGATTGATGTCAAATTACCCTTGAAGATTAAAAACATCAACAAGAGAGAGAAAATAGGTTGCATACTGGAAAATAGGTTTTTCAGAAAGCTTTTGAAAGAAATAACAAATCAAAAGTAAACAGGTAATTGGCCTGATTTGTTGCTGTACAAGATAACCAGATTCCATCCTTTAAGTCAAGGGAACACGAAAGGTTTTGTTGCTCACCAGAACATACAGCAATCAAAACAATATGAAACAAACATCCCAACACAGAATCTGTGGATTAAAGTTTGGTGTTCAACTTCCCTTTTCCAAACAATATAATATAAACCCGAGAAAAATCAATTCTGAATATCAGTTCTTAGCTATTAGTACTCTACATACCACTTGACTAAGATTCCTGAGCAGGAAAAGGGTGTGACAGGCAATCAGTAGATGTAGCTCTTATCGCTTGATAAATAGTGTTTTAACAACCAGCCAGAGATAGAGGTCCAGAACAAGTTACATGGACTGTTGTAGGAGTTGTTTCTAACTGTAGTATTTTGAGCATATATTTAAGAACACAGACACGCACTCTGCACCACGCAGAAGAAAGGAAATGAAGAAGCCCCCAGTGCTCATTGCTCCCATCATTGGCTAGATCAGGACCCTCTACTCAGCTTAGGTCTTTAAGCTCTGATTTAACATCAGTTCTTTCCTTCCCCTGGAAACATTTAAGACAGCGACCAAGATATCTCAGGCAGCTGAGAGCCCCAAGAATAAAGCAGGAGGCAGACAGAGTCAAAAAGACAGCAGGCAAACGACTTCAGTTTCTTAAATTCCTTTGGGCAGGAAAGACAAACACCAGGGTCCTTGCATGCCACGAGGTAAAACCCAGCTTAGCATTCTGTGAATGACTGTTTGTATGTTGACAGTAGAATAATCAAGTACTTCCTCCAGTGTGAAAGAAGCACATGCATGACAGTGTGTGTGTCTTATAACTCCAAGTCCTTTCCAGCTCCCTTGTAGCCAACTGTTAGCACAAAGCAGGTCCCATGCTTTCTCCAGAGTAGATGATGAGACACAACAGCTTCTCCAAATCAGAAAAACCTGCCTCATCAGTTGTAACAAACTTCTGTTCTGTAGCCACTCTTCATCTGCCAATACTCAGCACCTGGCTGGTATGTCCTGTACTCAAAAGAGAGCATTACTTGGGATAGAAGGAGCTCCTTTGGGAGCTCAGAAAGAGAGATGGAGAAGTATGGACCAAAGATCAGTAACTTAAAACATTATTTAATGGGCACAAAAAGTATAAGCTTATGTACCACAAAAACAAACAGAAGTTGGGATGGCTGGGAACAGTACAGCCTCAATTCCCTCTGCTGGTGGGAATCAGAGTGAGGCTGCCTAAATGGTATTTGCACATGGCCTTGCAAGAAACATCCAAGGGTGTTAGTACTCTCTTCTGTCTCTTCAGTGCCCTAAGGAACTTGAACAATGCTTAGTAAGCGGCTTGAGAATATTTACTGCCACTATCATTCGTCACTGCATCAGAAGAGTTCTTCTGGAAAGAGGGGAAACACTGGGGCTAATGATTACACCATGGATAAGTGTGTTTTGGGGGGAGAGACGGATTTATACATATTACAGTCTCTTAAAGTAGAATTACAAAATCTTAATTCTTACATAGATAGGATTAACCCATACTGCTAATACTTGGGGGGGAGGAAGTTAAAATTCAAACTAGAACCTTAGGCAGACAAAGGGAACAACCATTTTTGGTTTGATTTTTGTTTTACAGATGTTTTCTAGGCTCACAGTTTAGATTTAGAGAAGATTATTTACAATATTGAACACAGTTTACTGTCCCTTCTATACATAATTTGAGACACCTGAAAGGTCAGAAACCATAAAAGATGGCTGCCTAAAACTCCATTTTAGGAAAGAAAGGAAAAAAAGAAAGGAATTCTGATTCCTGAAAGTGTTTTACATTGTTCAACCACAACTATTAGGCACTTCATATTTATGGCCATTAGTCATTTTGTCATCTAATGGCATTATCATAATGCCAAAGAGAATGGAGCCCACAATTATCTCAGCAGTTGCACACAGTCATCTCCTGATTACATACATTCAGATGACACCTGTTTTCCCTCCACTAAAATAAAAGTTGATACTACTTAACCTGATGATCTAAAGACTCCAGAATACTCAAATGTGGCATAGAAGCACACAATCCTGAATTGACCTTAAATAATAGTTACTTAGAAATAGAATTTAAAATCAGAATAAAATAACTAGATCATAAAAACTGACTTTAATGTCTTTTGACCATAAAATGTCTTTACCTCTAGGTGTTGTAATAAGTACATATATATACGTGTATATATATATATGTAATAGATATCCATAGACATATATATTTGTGCATGCATACAATAAACAGACACATTTCTACCTGACCTTATTACCTATATTCAACATACCACCAATTGCCCAAGGGTCACGCAAGCCTTCAGCAACACCTCGATTAAAAAGCATGGATTTCTCACGGAAGCACTTGCCAAGATGCTTGTGCACCACAGACCTACGATGCGCTGGCTCGGGTTGGACATTGCACTCCACAGACAATATTAGAGCCAAAACGTTTTTAAACCTGCCTGCAGTTAAACAACACCCTCCAAACATCACCTCCTTCCTGTCTAAAAATAACAGTGATGGCATTCGTACCCGATAGCACAAGAAGTTAGAGCAAGGGGCAATAAAAGAGGCAAGGAAAACGAGCATCACCTGCCCCTCATTTTCCTCTGACAGGGCTGCAGCACTGATAACACACCTGTTCGGTTAGAAACTGGTGCTGTGCAGTGAGCATTGGCATCATATAGATGTCACTGTACCGAAAATTAGTAAAGAATGGATGACACTATTACCTACTTCGTTTCCACATCCATTGTGAACAATTTATTTCAACTCCCAGGGTAACCTGAACAAAATTGCCTGGAGCCAGCTCCTGCCTTACCTGAGAAGTACACCTAACTCCTGAACGGCAATACCGCATTTCTAATTAAAAAAAAAAAAAAAAAGAAAAGGAGAAACTTTCCCCCGGAGCGTGACTTTTGTTTTACTTCACAGCTGTTTAAAACAAAAAAAAAAAAAAAAAGAAAAGGAGAAACTTTCCCCCGGAGCGTGACTTTTGTTTTACTTCACAGCTGTTTAAAACAAACAAACAAACAAACAAAAAACCCCACCCAGCCCAAAAGACTGTATCTGTAGGATGTTCAAGCCAGGAGCACCGAGCTGGTCTGGAAGCCTCCGCAGGGAGGACGAACCCCGTGGGGGGGAGGTAGGGAGGGGACACGACGGCCCCTCGGATGCAGGTGAGGGGCGGCCCCGGAGCCCCCCACACGGCCGGCCGCGCCGGGACGGCGCCCCCGCTGCAGGGGACCGGTCCAGCGGCTGTAACGGGAGCGCGGCGCGGAGCAGGTGCCCGGCGGCAGCGGGGCGGTACTCACACGGTGAAGTGGTACACGAAGCACTTCCAGCCCGTGGGCCGCTCCAAGAAGTTGTAGACCCTGCCCTGGACGCTGCTACGGCTCAGCAGGGGCTTGCGGAGGCTGTAAATGGAGACGCGGGGGTCCAGGCTGACGGGGGGCCGCGGGCAGTCGGCGCTCACCATCACCACCTCGCTCCGCAGCCGCGGCGCCCGCTCCCGCACCGGCTCCGCGCCGCAGCCCGGCGGAGCCTGCCCGCCCTGCGGGGCGGACAGCGGGGCGTAGTGGGCGTTTGGGGTGCTCTCGGCCAGCTCCAGCGCCGACGGCTTCTTGCCGGGCGTCATGCTGCCTCTCCTGGGCAGCGACAGCCGGCCCAGGCTGCGGCTCTTCGGCTCGCCCGGCGGGGAGCTGGAGGACATGGCTGGGGCGGCCGGGGGAGCTCTGGCGGCGCGGCGGTGTCGGGGCTGCGCTGCGCTGCCCCGGGAGCTGCGGCCGGCGCCGAGCGCCCTGTCCCGCCGCCGCCGCTGGCCCGGCCCCCGCGGGGCGGCTCCCAACGGGAAAGGTGCGGGCAAGGGCGGGGGCGGGCCCGTCCCCGCCGCAGTCCCGGTGCTGCCCGGCGGGAGGCGCTGCCGGCGGCACCCCAGCCTTGCCCCGAGGGCACGGGCTGGGAGGGCAGCCCTTGGTGGTGTCCGGACCGCCCTCCGTGTCACGCTCAAAACAAATCACACGCTCTGTAGCGTCACTCTGACCTCCACCTGTGTCACCTGTCCCCCTGTCACCGCCATGGCTGCGTGGAGGTGGCCTCTCACCTGTGTGAGGAACTACGAGGACAGGGAGCAGGGAGCAGCCTTCTAGCAACCCAGAAGCCCAGCGGGCTTTCCCACCGTCTCAGCCCGCTCTGTGGGGATAAAGTGCTCCAGTGTTTTCCAGATCTGTGCCCTTGGGTGGCTTGAGCTTCTGCGGTACAAGCCCTTACCTCAGATTTAGGACTGCCAAAGCCTTCAGGGCCAGCTGGTCCATCCCTTTTTGCAGAATTTCAGCACCTGGGAGCAGCAGAGCTCTGCTGGACTCTGAATCCTCAAGGAGGCTCTTTTTAATACGAGTAACAGGAATTAAGAGCTTGGACAACAGGCCTTGCTGTCCCTCATGTTATTTTAACATCAGGAGTAAATAGCTGAATAATGGGGAAAACTGTAGAACACAATAAACACAGTTCTGCAGTCCTGCGTCCTCTACAATATGGGCTTCTCACCAGCAACATTTTGGTTTTTGTGGAAGGGTGCATGTGTTTGGCCATTAAGAACAAGTTATGGTTAGGGCTTGGATAACTTTCCTGCACAGTGGAGTAAGTTATGTCTTCCTTATCTGTGGTGTGAATCGATTTGTCATGGCTTTTTGCACCAATTAGTTAACAATGTCTATTCCCAGAGAAAAGAGGAGGGTGCTCTTTGATCTGGGCTGAGGGGTTTTTTCATTCTAGCCCAAAATAGAACAGCATTGGTAAGAGCTATGTTGAGTTCATGGTTGATACTGGTACTCGGACAAGAATGTTACAGGGAGATAAGGTGCTAAATAAAGTTAAAAAAAACAACCCTGCTAATTGCAGCTCCATTCAAATGTCAGGCTGCACGAATAGTAGGGGAACTGGGCAAGAGCCTTCACTAGTGTAAACAAGAAAGACTGGTAGGCCCTTGTACTGATTTACACCCATGAAGGATCTCGAAAAACAGAAGTTTTAAAACGAGAATTTGCAAAACCTGTTTGTAAACCAACAACATACCAACCAGGCTTTTTGTCCCTCCACCAGAGCATGAAGAACAAATAAGCTTAATAAAACCAGCATTTCAAAGGAAAGTTTTCCTGTATCTGGTCAAAACAGAGCCAGGTTTCTCTATTTTGAGAAACTGTTCTTTCTTGCAATAAGCCTGCAAGAAAAATGACTAATGGAAGAAAGAATGTCATCGCTACCCTTGAAGGCTCACTGTTTGAGGACTAGCCTGATAAAGTCTTGATATCAAAGTTAACAAATGTCTTTCTTTATGTAAGTGTTCCACTTTGTTTTATAGACCAGCATAACATTGTCTGGGTTATAATAGAACCATATTCTGGAGCCAGCTACAAAACATAACTTACAGAGTTCAGCTGTATGTTCATATGTTCATTATGTTGCTTTTCAGAAACTTTTCAAAATCTTTTAAAAATATCTTGGTATTATGTTTTTATCTATCCGCTGATTAACAAAACAAAGAATAGAACCCCCACTGTATCTGAACCTAAGAAAATGGAATTTCTGTATTACTTACGCAATTTCCTTCCAAAACACAAGTTAGAGAGATATTATGTACTTAAATGGCTAAACAGGGAAGAAAATTGGTAAGAACTAAATTTTATCTTCAGTGTTCAATGAGAAAGTTCCTAACAACTAAAGTTTGCTTCAAAAATTTTCTCACTACAAAAAAGAAAAGTCACAAATATATTCCATAGCCCTATATCTTGAAGTGTTTTTCAGGTCAGAAATATTTTCATAAGATTTTAGGTCGGACCTCTAATGTTGGCAAAATCTTTCAAAGAATCATCGCAGATAAAGGAATTTTAAAATATTTAAAACTTGTATTTAGGCAATTCCTAAACATCTTTTCCCTGGACTCAAGGAATTAATCAAAATCCACTTTTTAAAATTTATTACTGATTAATGATAACATTTATTTTATTTAGTAAAAATAATTTTGTTAGATGAGTGCCAGCTAGTTCATTTTACTGAATGCTAAAACATCTGTCTGGCGTAGGTAGAGGCAAGAGCATAATCAAAGAAAAGTGTCCAATAGATGAGTATTTAATGATGAGAATCCAGGGAATAATTATCTTTAATGTATATTTTGTTACCAAAACTGTACTATAATGTGCGACATTTTCAAGATGAATACTTCAACATGGTAATGGAAATTCCTGATTTCCCCCTTCATAAGTAGCCATGTCTTGATAATAAACACGTTAATTTTACAGAACAACAGAATTATGTAAGTAGAAGAAGAGAAAAAAATATCCAGAAAGTATGGTGTAAATATGGAAGATCTAAAAATGGGAAGAAGAGGCAGATGAGTGTTCAAATACATTTATGGAGCCAGGTATCTAGCCTTTGATAGTGAAGAGAATAGGGAGATACGTTGAATAAAGAGGACATAAGTTTTAAATATTAAGGTGGAACTACTACACTGAATTGTTTCTTAGAACAATAATAATTTAGTCTACTTTGAGTATTTACAGCACTGTAGCAAAATTAATAACAATCATGATGTTTGCTATTTCCCAGTTTGGAAGTACTGTTTTAAATATTTATGTCTTTAAGAGGACTTTGATTCTAAAAATGAGATGTCATAAGTCACTGAAGTATGATGCATAAATCAATTAAGCAGATGGTAAAGGTCCCAGTTCTAGAAGTTTAACTGGAGCAAGACTAGTGAAGTGTTTCTGAAAATCCCACTGTTGAGCTACAGTAGATCAAAAATGTTTGTTCCAGCTTGGGGCTCTGTTTCTGTTATCCTATACTAAATTATGACTGATATTATGCATGCATTGTCACATATGCTCATTAAAATGCTGTATTTTCACTTTGTGCCTGCCTGTGATCATGTCAGATCACACTGCTAAATGTTTACAAACTGGAATTGCTGCAGCCAGTTAGAAAGAGACACCTTGATCTTTATGTGATTACTTCCCTGTGGAAGCTGAGACTCAAACAAACAGTCAGTATCTGAGTGTTCTCTGTCTTCCGAAAGCCTTTAACACTTACGTTGCAATCACAGGTTGCAGCAGTTTTCCACTGCCATGAAAATAATTTTGTTTGCTGCTCGATTACTTTGGGGGATGGGTTTTTTTGGTTGGCTTTTGGTTTTTTGGGTTGGGTTGGGTTTTTTGAATGCCACTTTCCATTTCTGCCCAGCTATAGCAGGGAACATATTAAAAAACGTTTTTCAAGAAGAGGAAAGAGAGTTATATTGTCTTAATTTTGGGTTTATTTTTCTTGAATTAGAGCAAATATTTGGTTGCATTCCGTTTCCTGGAGAATCCACCATTTACTCAAATCAGTAGATAATTTTAAAAACAGCCAGTGATGAAGGTAAATGTACTGAACTGAGAATAAATGTCTAGATTTTTTATATATTTTCATATAGCAATAACTGTATGACAAAAACTTTTGAAATATTATCTGTCAATTAAAAAATTCTATTCACAGATGCATCATCACTTTAATAACTTTCCTATTAAAAGCAACAAAACAAGTAAGTGCTTAGACCACATACACAAAGAAAAGACTGACCACCAAGTTTTTCCTTCAAGTGAATTTATACCAGCTACCTTGATCAGTAAGGACCACAGTTACCATGTCATTGCTCTACCTTCAGTGTAGACATCTGTTAGCCATTGCTGTTCAGGCTTTCTGAACGTCAACAAAAGCAGTAGTACCACCAAGAAGTATGAGCAAAGAATGTCTAGGGAAGGTGACACCTTTACTAATCATTCAAAAAGCACCACGGTACAGTGCTGGTAATTAGGACAAGAGCTGCTGTGAAAGACATGGGAGATGTTCATCCTTAAGAATTACAGGGATCACAGCAGCATAACTGATGGGCAAAGTATGTCCTGGATCATACACTCAATAAACTGTTTCCTGAAAACTGGACAATACAACCTCATCTATTCTGAAATGCTGTCTTCAGAGGCAGATTAACTATCAACAGACAGAATAGAACCTGGGAAAAGAAAGAGAAACCCATGTTCCTCCACTTGAAATAACTTCACAAAGCAAAAGCAACCTAACAAGTTAAAAGTTAATCAGTCCTGTCAGAGATCATATTAGTGGATCATTTCCTTAAAAGACTAATCACTGTCAAAAAAGACATATTTTAACAGGTGTTTCAGTCTCTGTCAAGACAAATGGAGCAGATAGAAAAGAGCAGATAACATTATATTCAGAAAGTTTAAACTGGCTTTTAATTCTCTCCCTTCTTTACTCTTGGGTTATTTTTAACTGTGGATGCACTAAGTTTAGGAATCTGGTCAGTAGAGAGAAGTAACATTGCAGTAGATAGTGGCATACACCAGATATCTGGAGCGTGGAGGCTGTGCAGTCCAGCAGCTGACAATCCTGATTAGCATTATCTGTTTGGATGCTATCTCAGTGCATGGTTACATTCTAAATTTATATTATAGTTTTACACTATATATAGGGGGGTTTTTATATATTATAGGTTTTTAAAGCATACTGATGTTGTTCTGGGGAGGAATGTTATTGTCTACCAATGCTCACATTTTAAGTTCTAAAGCAAAGAAAAACTCTGAGCATATATTTAGACTTAGGCCACACAAACAAAAAAAAAGTTGATGAGTACCTCAGCCTTCTCCTCATCTGCTGTTACCA